CATGCTATCATCCAACAAGCATTTTATTTTCCAAAACACACTTTTAAAATTGTGGATATTGGTTAGGAAATCAAAACATTTTTATTTTGGCTCTTCATTCTAGGGATTTGTGCTGAGGATTCTTACAGACTTCAAACCTTAATAGCAGATGATTAGAGCAATGTGAAAATTCACTTCCTGAAGTCCAACCAAGTTCTAAAAGGAATGTTTATTTTGGAGCCTACATTTTTTTAGCATAAGCCAGAGTATGCGGTCTTGCTACTTAGAAATTACCAGAATGTTGTTTTGCAATACAGAAAACATACCCCAATGCCCACACATCCCAGGCCTGTCTCCATGGTGATTCCAGTTCCACATATTTGGACTTAATGCGCTTCACCTCAAATGAAACTGGAGTTAAACAGTACAATTCCATCCAAGAATTAAGCCTTCCTTCTTTGTCATTTTATGTCTATAGAGACATCTGATCAAGATGAGGGAAAAGAAATTTGAGTTTGGAATACTGAAAGTGAAAATCGCTGGGGTTTAAAGTCCATGTGTGCTCGTTCATCTTTGCAACGTCACAATGCTAAAATCATATCATGTAGCTGAATTCATTACCTATTATATTACATTACTCTTCCTCTTTCACTCTCCCCATTTCATACAGCATTTATTCTTCTTAGCCATATGGTACACACACAGCTCCCTTAACATATGCTGGGCAACCTTGTTTGGGGAATGTGAAAAATAAATGTCTGATTAGAACCAGAAAGCCACTAATGAAACAAAATGGTCATTATTCCATAGAAAATAATCACTGAAATGACGTCCCTAATGTGCTTTTTGAAGGGTATTTCCTCAGTAACAATAGGCTGATTGCTGAGATAGATGGGTAATTGAGAAAGCTGAAAAATGTTCAAATAACTTAACGGTCAAGAAAAATGATGAAATTTTTGTTTTGCTCTGAAGACAACAGGAAGTGTTTGAGAGAAGGCTATAGTTTATCAGAAATACATTTTCTTTCTGTTTGCTGCAATTTTTGTTTTCTCCATGAGAAAATGTACAGTGAAAGTAGAGTGCCGTTCAACCAGAGGAAAGTCTGCAACAGTACTGGCTTCAGATGATACTGAAGGCTTATAAGGAAAATAATAGTTCTGTCTGATCCCATCTCATCAGAAAAATGTCTCACTCACATTCAAGTGTTTTTCAATTCAAAGCTGGTTCTTCAGTCTCCCAGCACTATTGCACTCACAGTACGATGGACTCGTATTTATCAGGAGTGAACTGCTGCCAGCAGCAGAAAGGTTTGTGGTTTTAGTGAGTGCACTTCAATGTAGCCCATCGTGTATTCACTCTCCAGAGTGGTGAACGTTTTCTTCCCTTCTCTAGAAAAATTGTTTAAGGTCAAAACAAAACACTTTGTGTCAAATCTGCTTTCCTGTATTACAGTTTACAGTAAATAAATTTTGAAAAAACAGATATTTTAAATTTAAATCCCTGAAGATTGTGATGAAGTTGAAATGGTAGTTATAATTTTTCTTTTCACTTAAAAATTCTTTTTCAAAGACAACACATTTTAACAGATTTAAAAAAAAGAAAAATGGAAATAACCACCTCTGAAAGGTGGGATTTTTAAAAAACTAAACTATCCTGTTAATAATAACAAGACATTGACAAATGGTGGAGTTTATTCATACCTCTATTACTTTAAAGAACATGGGGTTTTCCTCCATTTTTGTTCTAAAATCAGTCCAAAAACTGACCCATGAAAACTTTCTAATTGTTGAAGCATTCTGTTTAATTAACAGGACACACTGTTGCTACAATTAGTGGCAAATCTGTCCAGGGGACTTCCAAATGTTTTTGACTGTGTGTGCTTAACAGATTATTCAGTTTGCTGTAGCTTTGTTAAACATGAAAACAATTCTTAAAAATGAATGTGATACCATTGGGAGGGACCTGGACAAACTTGAGGATCACAAAATATCCTGAGCTGGAAGGGACTCACGAGGATCACTGATTCCAGCTTTTAAGTGAGTGTTCCCTATGGGGATCAAACCATAACCTTGGCACTATTAGCACCATGCACCATTCAACTGAGCTCATCTCAGGGGAACCTCAAGGTTCAACAAGGCCAAGTGCAAGGTGCTGCACCGGGGTTGGGACAGCCCCTGGTGTCAACACAGGCTGGGCGATGAAGGGCTTAAGGCCAGTCCTGCCCAGAGGCACTTGGGGGTGCTGGTGGATGAGGGACTGGACATCACCTGGCCATGTGCATTCACAGCCCAGAAACACAACTCTGTCCTCGGCTGCATCCAAAGGAGCGTGGGCAGCAGGGCCAGAGAGGAGATTCTGCCCCTCTGCTCCATCCTCATGAGACCCCACCTGGAGTATGCATCCAGCCTTCTGGGATCCAGCACTAGAAGAATGTGGACCTATCAGACCAAACTCAGAGGTCACAAAAATAATCAAAGGAGTGCCTCGCCTCTGAGGACAGGGTAAGAGAATAAGGACTTCCTAGCCTGGAGAACAGAAGGCTCCAGGAAGACCTTATTATGGCTTTTCAGTAATTAAAAAATCTTTAGCAAGGTCTGTTGAAATAGGACAAGGGATAATGGTCTTAAATTAAAAGAGGGTAGATTCAGACAAAAAAAAAGTGGAACTGATTTTTGACTGTGAGTGTGATTAAACACTGGAAAATGTTGTCCAGAGAGGTGATGGGTGATCCATCCCTGCAAACTTTCAAGGTCTGGTTGAATGGGGCTCTGAGCAGCCTGATCTGGTTGAAAATGTCCCTGCTTATTTCGGGGAGATTGGATTAGGAGACCATGAAATGTGTCTTTCAACCCAAATTATCCTATGATTCCACAAATAGCAGATCTTGGACAAATTAAAACATTGCTATGTTAAGCAAAACTCAGCCTGTTATTTTAATTTTATTTATAATAAATCTATTTTAAATATATCTAAATCTATTTTAAATAGAGAGATATACTTTCTCTCCAGTTTTTCTGAATTCAAGATAGAAGGAAATTCGGTGAAAAAATCTGTTTTCTCAGAGAAGATGTTGAAGTTTTGTATGCTGAAGTTTTGTTCAGGTACTGCTTCAGACTATACTGTACACTTTAGAAAGTGTGAAACAGCCATTTCTGTTAAGTCCATGATCCCATATGCTCTCATTATTTCTACAACCAAACAGCATCCTATACTTTCAAGGATGCCTGCATTAATTCTCAGTGCAGAAGCAGGACCACATTTTCTCCTTCAATCCACATCCTGATTCATATTCCATTGAAATTAAACAAAGATGTCATTGGCTTCAGTGAGCTTTGGACGAGTCTTCAAAGGCATTTTAAACATAGGAATCCTATATATACCAATTGGTTTACTGCATGAAAAACTGTACCTACTTAACTTGCAGAACTAAAGACATACATATGTTGCAGTAAAGCAGCCTAGGAGAAACGAAAATCACAATTTTACAATGTTTGCTAGAGAAATATCAAGCACATGCAGAGAAGAAAGAGGATCCATTTGTTTAGGGCCTGCCTTAGGGCTTAGAAACAAAAATTCAAGACTGCAATACTAGAGTCTTCCTATGTGATCACAAACTAGTTTATTCACTTCTTCTGTAGGAAAGAACAGTACTTCTGTATTTACAAACCAAATGGATAAGTATTTTAAAAAACTGTGGCATGTTCTAATGTTGTGCTACAAGAAGCACTTAGGGTGGGGCCCAAACATAGGCAAAGAAGGTCTCTACTTACATCAGTCAGCTGGTACCTACCTACATCATCTTCTGGTACCAAAAAAATCACAGTCCCACCATCTGCTTTGCCCATGCCAAAGCTCTGGAAGCCTTGTGTGGTTCTGTCTTCAGGGATCAGGAAACAGCTGTGGTGAGGAAAAGGGGATCTCCCCATCTCCTCTGAGAAGCAATAGGGCTGGCACCAGCTGTGACACCTAACTCCAGTTCTCTTCTCCTCTGTCCCTGGTCTTGGTCCTGAACATTCATTGCTGCTCTGAGACAAGAGCATCACAGAGTTTCCTTAGCCAGGACAGGCCCTTTTCTGTGGGGAAGTCACACAAGTTTAGGGAGAAATTAAATGTAGAAGAACACTCTACCCACTAGGCAATAATAAAAAAATGTACACCTAAACCATATATGCCAGCACTATATCTACTTTGAAAAAAAATTTGCTATGGCTGAAAGCAGTATAATGGGTGTGAGTTAAATGCATTCAAAAGATACCTACCTCATCAAGCTTCCCAGAGAATTCAGTCACAGAGACATTTGGGTTGCCTATAAATAGTTCACTAACAGCTATAGGCATGAAGTGAAAGACAAATTGCACACTGCAGACAACAGAGGGGCAAATCCTACCACAGTCTTATACACCCAAGTAGCATCACTTCAGAAAACTTGAGGTTTCTCTTCTCCACTGTGATTGGAGAGTCTTAAAAGTGTATTTTCATCTTCTGTTTAATGAATAGTCAGAGTTAATTTAGTCTTAAAACTTACATTTTCATTCCACTCTCAGTGTACAAGTTGTTCAAACATATATCTCCTTGTAACATCTTTACAGTGAATTATCTAAATCTCTAGCTACTGTAATTTTTTGTGTTAAAATATTTAATGATAATTTTATAGAAGTATTCATAAATTGTATTGTATACATTAATGCTGGATTCTTAATTTTAACCATTTTTGTTTTAGCATATGTTGATAACATATAGATGTTTGCGCTAATTACAACAACCTAGCCTAATGAGATTTTCACAAATGCACACGGAGCGTTAATCAGTATTTACCAGAAAACAATGACTCACTAAAGGAAAGAATCAGCCAAGTGTACAGCATGTCCAGATGGTAGAGATTGCCCAAGTTGTTTTCTTTCAATGCCAGTGTAATCAAAATTGGTTTATTTCTCATTTGGTCAATATCAACATAATTTAATAGCCTTGAAATGCACCAGCAAAGAACCAAATCACTCTCCAGAGAAGCACTGGACAAGGAACGCAACATAAAAGTAAATATCTAAAATAAATAATTCCAAATAATTGGAGAAAGACCTCAAGTACGATCTTATTTTTCCCATGTTTTCCTTTTTTTTTATATGGCAACTCTGACGTGTATCAGGCTGGCACTTTTTTTTACTTGTAAATATGAAGAGGTCACTATCTTTTACATATGAGTCAACATTTCTGGTTATGGAACTGTCTTTGATGTACTTGTTGATGGCCAAACTTCTGTCTTTAAGTCTTCAAGTCTGACTCCATTCCTCCATGAAGACCCAGTAGCCCTGGTGGAAGTCTCCTGTGCTGTTGATGCTCCCCCTGCTGACAGCGTCCAATCAGGAAAATGAAATGCCAGGGTTTCAGGGAACAATGGGAAGAACAAACCACTTGGGTGGGGTTAATACAAGAAATATAAACAGTAGAAGAAATCACAGAGAGAAGGAGATGGGCAAAATCAGAAACAAAGGAAGGGGTAAAATTTTCTTTGGGCAAAAGATACAAAATCACCAAATCACCTACATGCTCCAAGGAATCTGCCATCAAAACATGAATTTTCTACTCAGCAGAGTGGGAAAGCTGCAAAATCTGTGATGGGTTTGAAAGAATTTACAAGAAAAGCAAGAATTTCTTTGCAGCAGGCAAGCTCACATGGGATATGGGACATCAGGATTACAGGCCACGCATGCACCAGGCAGATAAGTGACAAAGAGGATGACACCTCCCCTTCGTCAGCTATCATTAGTTCAAAGGATTGCTAAAGAAGTCCAGTAGTATTGATGAATTTCTAAAGGATCAGGCTTTCATTTTCCATGATCTTTCAAAATCTCAAGAAATTATACATTACCACTTCCCCAATGGCATTCCACCCACACCAAAGAAACAGTGCATTTGACCTCCATGGCTGTATTTGTCATGGCATAGTCCTCAACTGCAGGGATGCTTTGTGCTCCTGTCTCAAACACTGAGTAATTCATTTGCCTCCCAACAGAGAACTGCATCTGTATGACAGATAAAGCCTGGTGTTGTTGTAATAAAATTGTCAACAGAAAGTGCAACACAATGTTTACTCCAATTAAGCAAATCTACCCTGGAGATTTGGGTCTTATTCCCATCTTTGACATGAAGGACTGTGGGCAAGTAAGCACCCGAAATTGTTCACAGCTGATCACTGTTCTTTTCTCATTTGATGGGAAAAATCAAAGGCAGGATTTGTCAAGTAATTAATATTTATTTTGGGGGGTAAATGATACCTTATTTCTCTCCACTGACAGTAAAGTAAATGTAAACACTCTTAATTCAGATGCAGACATTCATTTCTGTTGTGCTTTTAGCTGTAGGATCTGAATTTCAGAGGTGAACACTCCCAAACACAACTGAAGCCACTCTCAAACACAACCAAATCCAAAGCCTCTATATTTCCCAGGCACAAGGCAGCAGCATTCCACTATCCCAAGGATTCTGAGGGCAAGTGTTACTACTATAGAAGTGCAGGAGAAGACTCAGCTTAGTTGACAGTGTGGTTATTGGTAATTTTGTCATAAATGTTAAGGATGAACAGAATTGTTGCTGTCTGTAATATCAACATATTTTACTTTGCATGTGGTCCACTGGTGCATTTTTATCAACAGCGTGCCTGTGTTCTGCAAGTAGTGTGATGCAGGATACCAAATGCCTGCATTTGGCAAATGAATCCCTTTCAGCAAAGATATCTACCTTCATTTTGCTTTTTCATAACTACTGATAGCCTTGTTGCCTTTCTTTTTTTATTATTTTCATGTATAGCTAGCTGTATTAGCTGCTGCTGAAAACTTTACAGGAGGAGATATTCTCAGTGAAAGTTTATGTACATCATGACAAGAGGTCAGTTTTTAATGAAGCTTCTTTAAAGATGGTTAAAATATAAGAGCTCTCACCAAAACAGCACTGGTCCAGCCACAAGAGTAGTCAGTTCAGACCTAGAAGATCCTTTTTCAATGCCTTGCTCTGAAACAGGGTAGGAGAGAACAGTAATTTGAAGCTGAGCCCTTCACATTCCAGCTAAATGCCCAAAAATTTCCTGCCAGCCCTAATCTAGAGAACAAAGAGATGAAGAGAGAGCACATTAACTATATGTGGTTGCAATGAAGAGTTTTATATATAGCAGTAAAACTGTGAGAGTCTTAGCTTAGGCATTCTTGACACAAACAGTCTAGTTTTGCAAAATATGACTTTAAGAAAAGGGAGAAAATATGGAGCTGTGCTGTTTTTACAGACCATTCCACAAATTTAGCCTTAAAAACCTTTGGTGAAAAAAGGTAAAATCTGTCTTTTGCTGTCACAATACTCTGCTACCATCAATGAATTTTGTTTAGAATAATACGGCCTTAATGCCCCCATCTCCTGTAGAATTGCTCAGACTGGTAGTTGATTAGAGTGGAGAGAGGTGCCAGTATTATCTGTGTTAGTGCTCCAGAGGTCATCCTACACTAACAAGACCGCCCCAGTCAGGGATGACAGAATCCAGCTGTTGCGCCTTCAGCTGAATGAGAGGAATCCACTTAATGCCAGAGATGCATCTCAAAAGATTAACTATTGTAACTAGTTACTTTCCACCTCTGAAAAAGTGTCTGGCTCATCATTATTGTCCTCTTTTTAGCAGAGGCCTATGGTATACATGAAACCATTTACCTTTTTAACCTCCTGAACTGTAAGGCACCAAATACACATTATTTTAAATGGATAAAACAAAGTTTTAACTTCACTGATATCTGATTAGAGGTGAGCTCATGTAACAGGGGGTATCACTCCATTTCAAAGAAATATGCATATGCACATTTTAGACTTTTAAGCAGTGTACTAGATGTGCCACGCTCCCTCTGTTTAACAGCACTGAGTCCTGATCTGAATGACAAGAGGAACACAACACAAAGAATGCTTGCAGTCATTATACAGCACTGCTACAATATACTCTGAAAATCTAACATCCTTAGGTAGAGGCTTAATATTTTTAAAATACTTTAATAAAAACCTAGTGTTAAATATCTTAGTTAGATTTTTTTTTATAGCACTCTCTTGGTAGCTTGAAACTTCTTCCTGACTAGCACTTTCTCACATGTTATTTCACGGGTTTTTTTGTTTTGCTCTTTAAGAGGATTCAAGTCAGCTCGGCTCTTGCTTCCAAGCTGCTCACGTGCTCGCATGTCAGCATCCGTGGGAATGTCATCTTGGCTCCGGGGCTACAGATTTATTGCTTGGCCACCAGAGGGTACCAGAGTTTTCTAATGACTTCGCAGGCCCGAAGGGAAAAACAGTCCTGAGGTCAAAGCATACCTATTGTTTCCTTCCATTTCCCACCGAAGCTGATTGCTCCGGGATGTTTTTTGGTAAGGTGGTGGGAGTTTTTTGGTTCTTGAATCCTACATTAGACAGGACTCATCTCCAGTTTTCTTTCATTCAAGTGATCTTGCCCAACAGAAAAGACATTTAAAACTCTTTATAGTTGAGCATGGTTTAACATGCAGAGGTTTTCTTGACATTAGAGTTCTTCAGAAGTTTCAACACACTTGGACTCTTTCAAATACTTGGCTTCTATAGTGCTGAAAATGAGAAGATATTTTCCACACTCAAAAGAGAATTCCATCATAACTGAACCTGAGAATAAGAGAAAGGTCTCTGTTTTTCAGTACACATTACCATTTGTAGATTCATAGAAGTTCTATTCCAGAAACAGATTCTATTTCTTTTTATCAGCATTTTGATTCTTCTGATAAAGCTGATGCTTAAAAAACCAGCCCAGCATAAATCCCCTGCTTTATTGCCTGGTGATTACAGCATTAGAGTGAATGCAAAAACACAGATATGCATTCCCTTCAGCTCAATGCTGAAGTGGAATAAGCACATTGAAGACAGTGGAAATTTCACAGGAAGGTTTTCCCAAAGTTCTGAGGGTTTTCCTTGTTTTTTACATTAAAAATACAAATCTTGCCTACATAGTTTCCCCAGAACTTGCTGCAATGGCTGGAGATGGAGCGAAATTATGACAACACAAGAACCCAGGAAGTGAAATTTGAGCAAATCAGATGTGATTTCATCTTCAGTTATTTGGAGATTTTAGTGACATAAGGGACTGTGCCATCGTGTAGCCTGACTTCTTACATAACAGAAACCATGGAACTTCACCCTGTAATTCCTGTACTGTGTCCAATAAAAATATGGTTGAATTGCAGCATAGTGTTTAGAAAGGCATCTGGTCTTGATTTTAGGAGTCTGGGTAAAATGTTTGCTCCTGATGCTCAGGTCATTCTAAAATGAGATGGGCACCTAATTCACTTAGACTTTTAATATTTTAGTTCTCTCTTTGAAAAATGCCTGCCATGATTAGTATAGAGCCATACCAACATACAACTAACTTATTGCCTAATGTTGTTTACAATGATTTTTGTAGAGAAGGAAAACAACATGGACCTACTAAGAGCTTACTGCTTCTTTAGCTATTGTAAGGATCTTCACCTCTCATTTATCCTTTCCAAATGCAATTTTTATTAGATGATATTAACAATAATTTCTTCCAGTGTAATACGAAAAATAAAAGAAGTCTGAGTCAGAAAAACAGTAAAATACATCCTTAACATTTATATATTAAAAATAATAATAAAAAACCAGATTAATAGAAGACTCTAAGCTTTGTCACTGTGGTACTCTGGATACTCTGGAAAACCTGAATACCAAAGCTTTTCTGCTATGTACCAAGCCAGGCAATTTTGAGAACAGTATCTACATCCTCAATGAGAAATTCATATGCTGTGATTTCTCTTTCTTTATGCAGTTTCTAATGATGCTTCTGTAGAAAATTCTCAAAGCACTTTCCAGAGCTGTAGTTGACCATGCATATGGGATCAACAAACAATATCTATGAAAACAGTACCTGAAAACTGAGGCTGGGAAAGCACAAAGTGATATGTGAAAAGATCTAATACCCTTTGTTATCTGCATCATCCAGTTGGAGGATTTCACGTTGAGAAGTACACGTGCTACACAGTAATCTTTAAATTCCACTCAGGTAGGGGAAAACCTATCCTTCTTCTTACCATCCTGTCAGGGAAGTCATCAAGGTACTGTCATGATCAAGTGCTCTTGTCTGTAGGTACAAAGAACAGGATAGAAGATGAGAGGCACTGCCATCAACTTAAACATTCAACTTGCACTTGGTCAAAAGTGCAATAGAAGAACACATCTTAAACAACAAAAATGTGTAGCAACATACACTTGAAAGAAAAAAAAAAAGAAAAGGTGAAGTGTTTTTTTTTTCCATTCCTGTAGTAGCTGCAGTTGAGTAGAGGTCACTGCTGGTGGGCTAACAGCAGCATCGAGGGAGGAATGGCATCTGCTTGCAGGGATATCAGCTGGGGTGTGCTGCCACTTATTGCCTGCACCTAACCCTCACCTTCCAGATATTATCTCAAGGTGCCACTGAAGACTTTGAACTAAGAGAGGTCAAATGTAACGTTTCTAGTGGAGCACATGGGTCTCACAGAAGGATAGCAGATACACCTGTGTAGAGTCAGGGAGGTAGCAATGCCCAAAACACTGTCAGATTATTTGTTTGCTGAGTCAGAACCCTCAACCAGTTTGTGCTGTAATTCTCCATCTATGATTGCCCACATCTAGGATATTCAGTTATGAGAATAACCATGCCAAAGTGGGAGAGATCCTTACAGCAAGCAGTACAAGAAACTTTAATTTCTTACTTAGTTAGAAAGTGGCATGAAAAGAAATTAAAAAATGGTTGTAGAGGAGAGATGCAGAGGAAGCACAAATGAGATTGAAATAGAAATTTTCAATATGTAAAATAAGTTACTAAAATATTCCTACTCAGAAACAAATATATTGTATCTATTCTAACTATGCTTCAAAGTGAGATAAGAACTGAACTGTTTTTCATTGGTGGTTTTGAGGATATAGCCAGTTATTTTCATGGAGAATTGCTATGTCACCTTTTAATCACAAGAAATAATAGACCACAGAATAGGCAACTTTTGTTGTTTATTTCCTTAAGACCAGTAAGAATGCAACATGATAAATTGTAAAATTAGACAGCTTAAAATGTTAGCTCAATAAAAGACATCAGGTATTGTTTATGGATTGCAGTGAGGTTTTGCTATTATTTTTTTAATTGTTCCCGCATTACTTGTGGGCATGTGACATAATTTATGCTGTTATGTTGTCAGGCTTCTGATCATGGGAAGGACTATTTGTTTAGACTGTGTAGCTCTTCACTTTAATTCACTCTGGCTCCAGTGTGACATGTTAAAACTACTATCAGTGCAAAATCCAAATTTCCCAGAAAGACTTAAAACAGCACCCTCAGTGAACTGAAATTATCTCCTCTTAAAGCTAATTACCTTAGTATACTTAAGAAAGTAGCACTATAGGAAATCTGTTTCTTTAGACTTTCTTCTATTTCTTTAAATGCCTCAGGTCAGCATGAATAATTATTGTTTGCTTTTATTGCTATTTTTTTCATTATTCATCTACATGCCTCTGAAAGGACATAAAACTAAAATAATCCAACAAATTAAGAGTAATTTTTTAAGGCACACATTCATTATTAAAAAACAAACAGAAAATATTTTCACCTTTCAGTTTATTTTATTAGAAAGAAAGTACTGTGAGGTTTCTATTTAATAGGAAGCTTTAAAGCATTAATGAGTCTCACAGGGCAGTTATTGCAAGTAAATATGGAATGTGTCCAAAATTAAATACATTCTACAATTATCTGTTACCTAAGGGGTGGATGTAGGAGAAATATGCATCAAAGGCTGCTTGCTGATGAAAACAACACATGATTCTGCATTCTATGTCAACTTCTTTCAAAGCACTCCACCCCACACCATGAGCAGCGAAGCAAGTTTCCAGGTCCACAAGAGTGGGTTTGGAGCAGTTTCTTTATTTTATCTGACCCAAACATAACTTTGGCAATTGTTTTAAAGCCCCATATCCCCAGGATTTTATGACCTCACAGGAGTTGCCTTTTATAAGGGCCAGCCTGGGAGACAAATCAGGAAGCTGTCATACTCCAAAGCCTTCAGTGTACTGGGACATAAGGGGCTGGCTTACATGCTACCCAGGTGAGAAGGGTTTGAGAGGAGAGACTTCAACACAGCTCACTCTCACCTATATCCCACTTCCATTCCTATTTATATCAATTTTATACCAATTAGGCACTCCTTTCTTATTCTTATTATTGATTTTTTTCCCTATTAGTGCTTTATGATTCAGCTCATCCTTTGTGCAACTCAGTCATGAACACACGGACTCCCCTACACCTAGTCAGACTGCAGCTGTGTTCATCCCTCTCTAGATATGTATTATTGAGACACTGCCAAATGCACTTTGTCTCAAACACCTTGTACTGATTTCACTTTTTATTAAATGTAACAAACCACTGAGACATGAAAATAAATAAGGAATTATACAGAAAAGTTAATTTATTTGAAATAAATGATAGATCAGTATTCCTACACCTCTTCTAATCCTGGATTATCCACATGGAAAATAACCATTACTCTCTTTCATTGCCTATTTAGAACAAGCTAATAAATAATAATGAAATTTTTTTAAAGCAAGTTTTTAGATACTATCTTCTGTTTTATTGTCATGGAAATAAAGAAAAACACCACCACAATAAATAAAAAATCAAAGCACCTTCTGCAAGCAACCATAAGTGCTCACATATCTGCTTGTCTGTTCATCACCCCAGTATCACTTGCCAAGCTCTTTGGACAAAGATTAATTTTTGGCCCAAAAGCAGCAAAATGAAACCTCTAAATATCATGATAATTTTAGTAATCCTCCCAGTAATATTACTCCTTATCCTAGACTTTGCTTATGTAGTCTTCCCTTTTTCTACACAAAGCCATTGATCATATTGTAAGGAGCTTGTCATGTTGAATCTCTCTCCCCTAGATTAGCTAGTTTAGAAATACTTTCCTTTTAAAAGTCAGTATTGAATTTCTGGAAGAAAGAGGAAAAAAAAATGATTTTGATTCTACAGCAGAAACCCTGCTGTGGAATAAGACATGTAGAAGAAAAGGGATTTTTAATTCTATGTTATTTTTCAGAAGTAAGCTAAAGATCAGCAAAGAGATGTGAATCTCTTGTTATTTTAGCCCTGACTACACAGGATGTTTTATATAACCAAAAAATCTCTTAGGGAAAAACTCCTCATGAACTCATGGCTACAAAGTCATCTTGCAAAAGGGAATAACACTGCTAATTGCACAGGAAAATAATTCCCCTTATCAGTATCCCCTTTTGGTTCTATTCTTGTCTTTTTGGTTTAGGGATGAGAATGACACTTCCTAATAAGCTGCATTTAGTATGCTTCTCAGTAGCATGATAATGGAGAAATTGATTGATTTTCTGTGCCTTCCATAATGAAGGCTACCTAGTTTTTATCTTTATGCAACAATGATAATGATAATAATTTTCTTTAAACCCTTGTGGCAATCCCTCCATTTTATCCAATAGCATATAATGATGAGCTTAGCAGATTATGAAATATTTTCTTTTCAGATGTAT